TTCACCATCCTGAGCAGCACCGTTGACTCTAGAGCTTACACCGGGGCTGCGACTCGCTCGGTCGACATCCAAGGGAGTGCCGGTCGTTGACGACAATGTGTCTGGTTGGCTCAATAGAGTATCACCGCGTTTTCTGGTGTTCTCGAGATGGAAAGCTGGTGATGGCAGCGACGGGTTCTGCTTTCTAAGCGGATTCTCCGTGTAAAACTGGCGCATCACCTCGATAGCCTGAGAACAAAGGACCTCATCACCCTTTAGGAGCTTCCACCAGGGCTCGCCGTTGATGTCTTCGATTTGCTGATTCGCATGTATGCTCGCAAAGAAGATGGCGCTGATGGCAACATCTCGAGGTCCTATCAACAGAGGGATCGATGTGAGGCAAGCATCATTGCAAAAAGCCCAGGCCGCTTGCCGTAGATTCTTGTTATGAACTATTCCAAGCTGATCGAGCAACTTGAATAAGTGGTGGTAGGGGTTGTCGACCATCAGATCGAAAGTGAGCTGTTCTAGCATAACCTCTTCGTATGTGAGGATGCTGTCTCGCCATCGCCAGTACTCTTTGCTCTGCTCGTCAATAATGAGCTTCGCGTTCTTTTGTGCAACTTTGGCTACGGCGATAATGATGTCTTTTGTCTTGCGGCAGTTCTCTTCGGTCTTGTTGGCTAGGAAGAGGGCTGTTGCTGCGATGTTCTTAATTGCAGAGGTTAGCATATGGAAAAGAATTGCATGCTGCTCGGTCAAGAGCAGTCTTCTATTGCTCTAAAGAGGCGTTGAAACTGCAAGATCAGGTGGGAGAACTCACATAATGATGAATTCCACCTTTTTCTTGCACCATGTGGCAGCGCATGAAGAAGCGATGGAAGAATACTCCAGCTACCCACAGCGTAATCTGAGGAAGATCCAACATGACGCCCGCTTGGTAGATGAAGTTGACACCCTTGGCCCTGCGCATTCTCTCGTCCGCCGGCGAAATACCCTCGACTATGCTAGGCGTGCTTCGCACCTCGTCCGATGTAAAGTTCCATTGGTTAAGACCGGCTACTGGAGTTTGCGCACTAGACCGGGCTGGTGATGCTTGGGGTTGGCGGGCTTGAGGTCGGGGGGGGGACGTCCGTGTTGAGTGTTGCGGAGGAGTTGGAACTGCTGGAGGAACGGCATCGCGCCGCCGGGGAGACCGTGATCTCGAATCGCGCTCAGGTCGAGAGTTGGTGGGTAGGGTCGGAGGTTGATACCCTTCCCTGGGAGGCCTGTAGCGATCGATACTCGCCATGGCCGGTGTTCTTAAATCGAAATAACGATGCTTGTAGTGCTGACAAGGCAATGACTCGTAGGAGAGGATTGCGTCGGTCTGAAAGATGGCGGTACCAATGATTAACGTACGTAGAGTTGTGAAGTTGAAAGTGATGCGAAGTCCAAGTTAGCCGGCACAGCAAAGGAACCTGATCTAAGGAAGTTGGCGTTTGACAGCAGGGGCGACAAACTAGAACCCCAATTTAGGTAGCGTTATCTAATCATGGGTGGGTGGGCACATGATCCTCCAATGGGTGGTTGTAGCACTCAATTCAACGGATGAAACAATAGGAACTCCACTCTAGATGAATAGGAAAAGGCCCGTTTGGATGATTGTTGACTATTGAGAGTTGATTATTCATTCTTCGTTTTTTTAATTTAATTCTGGCTACCTATTATTATGAAGTTTTTGGGGTATCTCATGGTAGCTTTTGTTTGTCTTATCTTACCCATATCTATTCATCTTCAACAATACCCTAGATTCCCTCGCCATCATTGCGACCCCATAATTTGACTGTGCGATCATGGCCTCCACTGACAATCCACTTGCCGTCCCTGCTATAGTCGACACTGGCAACCGGGCCTGTGTGGCCGCTGAGCGTCTGCACCAGTGTCCAATCGTCTGCCGAGAAGATCTTGACATTTCGGTCAAAGCCGCTTGATACGAAGAAAGTGCCAGACTTTTTAGGTAGCTGCGCACCCTTATCATCAACACCAGGTGGAACACCAGTGAGAGGATCGTCAAGGCCTTTATACCATCGCATATCAGAGACAGCACTGGTGTGCGCACCAATACCGCCTGTCCTTTGTACCTTTCGAACATCCCAACACTTGATCCAGCCATCAGCTGAGCCAGATAGTACCCTGTGTCCATCGGAGCTCCAGTCCAGCGCATGGATAGGCTTAATATGTCCATCAAGATGTCCATCCAAGATCATAACGGTACGCCCGGATCGCAAGTCCCAGATTCTACCTATGCTGTCCAGGCCAGCACTCGCGAGTAAAGATCCATCAGTATTAAAACTGACAGCGTAGACACCCCTTGAGTGACCCTCTTGGAGGAGTACCTCTGCAGTTGTTTCGACATCCCAGAGGCGCCATGAAGTGTCTTCGGAAGCAGAGGCTAGATAACGTCCAGAGGGATGGAACTCGATACGACACACTCGCTGTGAATGTCCCTCGAGTGTGGACAGGGGTGTATCTTGGTTCAAAGACCATAAGTGAATAGACCCCTCAGCACCGCCTGACGCCAGGTTAACAGTATCAGGTGAAACATTGTGCTCTGGTAGGGTAGAGCCAGGAAACCAAGATAAGCCGCTAATCTTATTGGTGTGACCGCGGAAGGTTGTCTTTTGGTTCAAGCTTGGTATTTCGACCAGCTTGACTTGCCCACCCCAGTTGCCTACAGCGACCAGCTCGCCGTTGGGGGATATACGAGTCATGCTGACATGACGGTCACCAACTGTCTGACTGCCTTGGAGTTCAAAAGCCTGTAATCTCTCCTTGACTTGCTTGCGAAACTTGACCTGGGTGCGTAGAGGGATCGTGGATTCGGCTTTTTGGAACTGGACCCTTTTCTTGGCCCGCGGCAAAGAGTACTCAGCAAGCTTTAACCGCGCCTGTAGAAGTTCAGGTCCACCTCTTGAGTAGAACTCCTCCTCCTGTTCCTCTTCTTGATCCTGGTCTCCAGCGTCTTCCATTGTGATATCACCATTTTCCAACCCTGTCATCTCTGCCTGGATTGTGAGAAGTTCTCGTAATCGATCCCGACGATCAACAAGGGCTTCTCCGAATAGGGTGACCGGTTCGCCCATCTCTCGAAGCTTTGCGCGGACTCGGGTGTCATCGGTAGGGACAGCTATCGTTGCTGCTAGGCGTTTGCGATTGAACTGGCTGAGAATAGCGGAAGCTTTTTCAGATGCAACACCTGTTCCTCCCATGGGAATATCGTAGTCGTGATCATCGGGGACATCTTCCAGTGCGATTCCTTGAGGCTCGGCGTCCTCGACGTACGCCTGCCGCGATGGGTGCATCATCTTGGCTGGATGTGGCCAAACGTGGATAAATGATAGCTTTGCTTATGAGCAGTGAAGAGTTTGACTATGGTTATCGTTGTATAGGTCGTCTACAGTCGAATATAGAGATATCGACTTTTGTCAATAGAAGGCTGATGCTATGGTGGTTGTAGCCTCGTCGTTTTGCGCGCGCTCTTGGATTGGTAGACGTGAAATTTCCAGACGCGAGCTTGGAGCTTGAAGTGTGACGGCAGTTTATTTCGCCGCTGGCCGACGATGACCCGAACCTAATAGACGGGAGATCAACTTGGAAGGGAATATTTATGCCAAAATGTGTAGAAGACAATGAATATCATCATTAAAATCACCAGCGAGTAAAGAAAATGCTACTAATCCTTGTAATACATAATTTTTCTTTAATATTATTGTACTTTTAAAGATCGTTAGGAGGTTAGGTTAGATACTAACCTACTATACGACCTGAGTCCTATTTCTCGCCCTACCCTGCCTGGGTTTTAGAGTCCAATGTTTAATGGGCCCTGAAGAATCACAAGCTAAAAAAATAAATAAACGAAGACCAACCATTCGCTTTCTGCGGGATCGATCACCGCATGGCCCAGGCCTGTCAGGTTATTGGTGATGTCAGTGTCTCAAGACTGTCAGTCATCTTTCATGCCTTGTGATGCTGACATCAAGAACAGAACTGGCAGACGAATGAGAACATGTCACGTTCAAGGTTTGTTCGTTACGTTTTATTGACAACGCAGAACCAGTCAACAAGGGAGTAACAAAAGTCTATGCTCTACAGCCACAAAATTAAAAGAAAAAGGGGCAGGTATAATTATGGTTAATGCGACAAAATTTGTCTCTCTCAAGTCTCACGGTCCATGTCTTAGGCTTCGACTTGAACGAATGTATTCCAAATTCCAGCAGCCGGGTTCAACTTGGTGCTGTGCATCCCCCCTGGCTTGTCATGAGTTGTGCTAGTCTCAGGGGTTATTTTTACGTCTAATATCCAAACTTGGGTGGTGGTTTGTATCTCCCGCTGACTAGGCCCCCGAGCCTTTAATTCCTCCCCGCGTTCCAAGTGGACGCTCGGGCTTAGTAGACAGGGGGTTTTATTGACGGCGACGGCCCAGCCGATGACCAAGGCGGGCTGAATTATAGGCGCAGCTGCAGTTAATGGATTCTTTGGACTGGAGCCAATGCAAGACCGCCGAAAAAAGCCTAAAAAATCGCGGAGTTACAGCGCACCTGCTGAAATAGGCGCAGGGCTATGGCCACCAAAAAATCCTTGTTTTATTTTTCTTACTTGATTTAATACTAGAAGGACCCGTTCTTTGTCCTTTGCCCTTCCCTCTCTTCTTTCCCTCACACCACACTTGGTGAACACCAGTTCAACATTCCCACGACACCTAACCGCTGCCAAATGCATATAGCAAAGCCTGCCGTCTTCCGTACTTCTTTCTTCCGATACCAGATGCGTGTCGCGAACTTCTACGAGATCGAGCGTCACTTCGAATCACAGCCCCGCGCAGATCCGGAGCGCCGACGAGGATTCCCTTGAATAGCACGACTATCTGCACTTGTCCACTGTCTGAGCTGGGCGAGTGCTGTGTGGTGTAGTTATCTGAGCATAACCGTGCCGTTCCTAATCCCCCAAAACTCAGACTACCACTTTGAATACCGCCCACCATGATAAGCCAGGCACCTGCCGCGGTCACTACCGTCCGCGGATTCCAGACTACACCTGCTACTTCGGGCGACGAAGACTCCGACCATGGACACAGCGAGGCCCCTACTCCTCGGCGCAAGACTCCTGGAAGAAACCTCATCATCAACGATGTTGTGAGCGCCAACTGCAGCCCTACCTTCCGCGCCCATCCCTCGCCCGCCATGTCAGGCATCGCCAAACTGCGCATGCAGATGGAGCCTCTGAGCCTCGATGGAGGGTCTCCCTGTCACTCTATGAGTCGTGCTGGAAGTCAACAAGGACTGGCGCTTGAGTTTCGAAAGCAAATGATCAGCCGTACACAGAGTCGGGAGGATGTGCGCAGCGAGGCTGGTAGCGAGATTTCAGACAGTTCTATTAGTTACGAAGTTAACCTCGAGCACGATTTCGCTAGCGAGAGTGTTCGAGAGCGTAGTGGATATCTCGAAACCCTCGAGCGCGGCCTTGCGCCCAACCGTAAGATGACGTCGGAGGACTTTGAACACTTGCGATGCCTTGGCAAAGGTACCTATGGTACTGTACTGCTTGTCAAGCAGCGCGCGACTGGAAGACTCTATGCCCAGAAGCAATTCAAGAAGGCCTCGCTTGTCGTCCACAAGAAGCTCGTTGAGCAGACCAAGACTGAGCGACAGATTCTCGAGTCCGTCAACAGACATCCATTTGTTGTCAAGCTGTTCTACGCCTTCCAAGATCAAGAGCAACTGTACCTCATTCTTGAATACGGACAGGGTGGTGAGCTCTTCACCCATCTCAACACCGAAAAGATGTTCTCGGAGGATGTGGCCGCATTCTACATGGCGGAGATGCTTCTAGCGATTTCCCACCTTCACAACGATCTCGGCGTGGTCTACCGCGATCTCAAGCCGGAGAACTGCCTTCTAGACGCAGAAGGCCATCTCCTCCTGACCGACTTTGGTCTTTCCAAGGTCTCGGTCGACCAGAATGAGAGCTGCAACTCAATGCTGGGAACTGTCGAGTACATGGCGCCCGAGGTGGTCCTTGGAAAGAAGTATGGAAAGGCAGTCGACTGGTGGTCGTTTGGAGCCCTCGGATACGACCTGATGACTGGAAACCCACCTTTCCGTGGCCAAAACCACGCCAAGATCCAAGACAACATCGTCAAGCAGAAGCTGGTTCTTCCTTACTTCCTGAGCCCTGATGCTAAAGATCTACTCACCCGACTTCTTCGCAAGGACCCCAGCAAGCGTCTCGGTGCCGTGATGCCCAAGGATCTGGCGACAATGAAGAAACACCGGTTCTTCCGCAAGATTGACTGGAAGAAGTTGGCGGAGCGTGAGCTTGAGCCACCGATTCAGCCCATGATCACGGACCCTGAGCTAGCCGAGAACTTCGCCCCAGAGTTTACGGAGCTGTCCATCAGCCCGGTGCTGCCAAACAAGGATGCCTGGCCTCGAAGTCTCCCTAAGGATGAGCTCTTTGGTGGATTCAGTTTTGTTGCATCTTCAAGCCTGTTGAACGAAGATCGATTCGCGGCTTTTGCCCAGACTTGATCGATCACTGTTGAGACGAGAGAATTGATGACTATAGAAAGACAGGGGATGAGGAGTTGATTGAGGGGCATTGGTGTTATTCAAGATGATTGCGTATTGATTGGTGCGGTTTTTTGCGTTACATACAGAAGAGCAGCTACAACAAAGAGAGGGCCTCACTGGCCGTTGGAAGGTACTGTAGTATCTGTCTGGTAGTACCGTTCAAATTGTAGATTTCAATAGAGTTTTCGTTTCTATACTTGATCCTTGCCATCGTCTAGGGTGCTAATAACTGCCCGAAACGTGCAAACAGCCGGGCGAGTGACAAATAACGGATGGGAATAGGATTAGCTGGGGGCTTAGCTGTCAGGCTGGTGCTTGTTGGGTTGTAAGTGCATGGCCGTGACTTCGTATTTGGGCAAGTAATGCAGTTGTGATGATTAGGTTGGCAGTAAAAGAGAAGGGAAATTGACGATGGATGAATATGATCTCACATAATCGGGAATAACATGCAGAAGGGTGAGAATGAGACACTTGAGCAAGTTTGTCTGAGTTGCTATACTGGTGCACTACGCGTCGTCAACAGGGAATAGTCACCCTGTTGACTCTAATGACTGAGTTTATCCGAGTAATTAGTTGCATCGATGGATGACAACTACAACACCAATATCTACAAGCTTAAACGAATGCGTCACAGACTGAAGATCGACTCGATCATCACATCAGACCACGATAACAGTGACAGAATGCATGAATAGGCTTGGTAGAGTCGATGAAGGCTTAGACTTGACTTGATCTGATCATCCAGAGCGCAACTGCAACATGAAATGGAGGGCCGCGCAATCATCATGCACGAGGCGTAGACTATTGCATGCCATCGACTGAGACGATACTATCAGACTGCATCTGCGTTTCTTGGCATCATCGATGAAGCTGCTTTGTGATGATTGAATAATCAAACCTCCGCGGATCTCTGTACGAGAAGATTAAGGTCCATCACCTTATCCGGAGAGAATTAGAGTAGAGAATAAGCTTTGGGTTGAAAGAGCTGACATATTCACGAGGCTAAGAGAAGCACTGATCAGACCTGGAAGAGAGCTCCAAACCCTGGTAGCGTCGTGTTGCAAATTGGGATAATGTCATTGGGCTGGAGCTTGGTTTACAGTACCCATCTTGGGGTAGCCGTGGGCCTGGGGGAATGGGAGACAATTGTTTATGCGACCTCATCAAACAACAACAAAATACGATACTGCCAATGGTAGACTCTGACGTGGATCTTTGAGGCTATTCACACGTTGAAACCTCGGTACTCCACGTGGGATAACGTTGCTGTCGTGGGATGACTGCCTGTTGTCGGATTGACCAATCTACCCAAGAGAGAAGCATAATCAGATCTTTTGCCTGATTTGGGCGTCTAGTCAAAGAAAAGAGTCTTCCCGACAGCCCAGATCTCACCTGCGGAGATATCCCTGTAGGGGTCGGCCGCCATTTCTTTCAGTCCTTGCAAGCGTGTCATCACAGCCCTTTTCAGTGATCGAGTCCTTACTGTATGGACTGGCAGGCTGGGCATGCATCATATGTAGCAATTGAGCGCGTATTCGAACACCAAGAGGTTACTGAAACAGAGGAGGCCTCTCCCTCTTGTTCAGATAACGGATAGAGAGGCACACGAACGCACCTTTCCAACGGCGACAGTTTCAACATCATGATGCCTCGACTGAAAGAAATGCGTCGTTAACCAATCATTCCGGCGTTCTGACTGTGCCCTGAAGCCTCTAAACGAACAAACTGCCGCTATCTCGGCACTGAAACCCGCGATGGCTTAAGCCTATTCACTGGCGTGGATAGCCTGGATAACTGTCTGGGCTGTGGCAGTGTGAGTGAAACCTTAATACCTTCATCTCATGCTTGACAAGGATTAACCAGGGCGGATCCGACAAAAGAGCTGACGACAACATCGATCCCTTCCCTTGGGTCCAAGCCTTGGGCTCAAGGGATCCGTCCCTTTGAGCCAGGCTGCCAAACTAACTAATGGCGGCAGTTGTAATGTCATCTGCCGGGTCTCTTTGGTATTCGACTTCGTAAACCGTCCCGTACCACCGGCACCAGGCTTTGTATCGCACAGCACTGCCGTGGCTTTGCGGCGCGTAGCGTCTGTAGCCCAGTGGACGATCGTCTCAATATAGGAATACCCCCCTGGTCTATCTCCATCTGTGCTTTGTTTATGCTTATTATATTTAGTTCTTTCATTGTCCCCCTCATGTAAGATTCCAATCTCCTCACTCGCAGTAAAAAAATTTCTCTTCCATTCATTTCACCTGTCTCTGTTTCGTTCCCAACAATACCATGAAGTCAACTTTCAGCACATCATTAGCGGTGCTGTGTAAGTCATTCCCGTCAACTCAACGCATCTCTCCCACCCAACTAACAGTTCTCCTTTAGCTGCTGCTAGCAGTGCACTCGCTATCACATCTTCTTTCTGCCCGGACAATGGCGACGTCTGTTTCCGTTGGGGTGTCCCTGCGGCTTCTGCAAGCGCGGGATCTGGCAGCTTTTACTTCCAGATCAAGGCACCAACATCCGCACAATGGGCAGGACTAGGCACTGGATCCCAAATGGCTGGATCCGACATGTTCATCATTTACCAAGACGGCAACGGCAATGTCACCCTGAGCCCAAGGAAAGGTGTCGGCGAGGTCATGCCCCAGTACACGAAGCGAAGCGGACTCGAGCTCCTCGACGGTTCTGGAATCAAGGACAAGCAGATGATCGCCAACATTCGATGCAACAACTGTGTTGATCTTAGTCTCAAGGGCACAAGCTCGTGGATTGCAGCTTGGAAGAATGGAAATTCGCTGGATTCGACAAGCATGGAGGAGCGCATCTCTGAGCACGACAAGCACGTGGACTTCAGCGTTGACTTTTCCAAGGCCTCAATGAGCTCTGACAGCAACCCATTCACCGGCAGCAATGAAAACACGAACACGAACTCTGGTTCTAGCTCTGGCGGTGCTGTGACACAGAACGGAAGTGGCAGCCCTAGCAAGACTGTTCTGCGCGCTCACGGTATCATCATGTCCATTGTCTTTATTGCTGGATATCCTCTGGGTGCCATCCTTATGCCCATGCTTGGAAAGTGGCTCATCCACGCCGGCTGGCAAGTTGCCATGTTGCTCCTCATGTGGGCTGGATTCGGCCTCGGTTATGTCTATGCCCGTGATGGTGGCTACGTAAGTTCTCCCCTGAGATGCACTCGCATCGGAACGTGTCTGTCAGTACTAACGTGTGACTCTAGTGGGGAAAGCAAGCTCACACAAGAATGGGCACTGTTGTTTGTGCCTTGATGACCCTGCAGCCTGTCCTCGGTTACATGCACCACCGATACTTTGTGAGCCACCGCAAGCGAGGAGTTGTCAGCCATGTTCACATCTGGTTCGGCCGAGCTCTCATCATCATCGGTATCGTCAACGGAGGCCTTGGTCTTCAGCTTGCCAACTCATCCACTTCATACATCATCGCATACTCCGTTATTGCTGGTATCGCTGCTATCCTCTACTTGGCTGCTGCCTTTATTGGTGAAAGGCGAAGGAACGCTTCTCGTGCCAAGCAAATTTCTCCGCAGATGTCTCAGGAGGAGGCACGATAAACTTTCTTGTCAACCTAAAAATGAGTAACATGGCGGGGCTGTAATGCTTAGAAGGTGTTTCGGATTTCGGGACTCGTGAATTGTGATACCATAGATCTTCAGTCCATCAGGATTGGATCTGATAATCGGCAAGATGTTTTAACTGCGATGTCAATCGTTCTCTTCTTTTTTGTTACCTTAACTTTCGAACTTAGCATATACCATACCAATAGACTGGATGAAATGATTACATCAGACATTTTTCGTGAGCATTGTATTGTGCAACAATGTTATCATGAGGCTCTTGAAGCTGATGTGACAGTACATCGATATTCGAATATAGCAAATTGAAGCACTATGAAACAGCTCTCGCCAGGAGTACGCTGATTAGCAAGAATTTACCAGGTTTGCAGTGGCTGAATATTTTTTCCCCCCGAATGAATTGAGTATTAAAATTCATAATGGCTGATCTCCGTGTAAGTGAATTGACGATAGTGCTTCCCCATTCCCGAGCAGAGAGGGTCCCAATGCAAGATCTATCAATCCTGGCCAATCACACCTCTCAAAGGTCACGTGCGATGGATCCGTGATGCTCCGGCAGCTGCCCAGTTTCAGACTCAAACCTGAGGCATCAACTCCACGATAGCAAGGCCGAACCGCTCTAACCGGGGGCGAAGACGCATGGTCCAGTGCAACCTCTCACGATTTTTCCCCCAAAACCCTCAATCGACCTCGCCCTCGATCTCGCTCTCGCCCATCTCCTCCGGAGTCATCCCCTCAATTGAGCCACCACCAGCTATTCAAAATGCTCATTCAACTCTCCAGGGCTTCGGTGAGAAAAAGAACCAAGCCTAGACGATAAAAAAATACTCATGGTTTTATAGCGCGCTCGCTCCGCTGTTGCGGCTGTTTCTCGTGTCGCCAGACCCAATGCCGTTCAGGTGAGGGGCTTCATTGCTCCCACTGTCTCCCGGAAAGGTAAGATTCTGTCTACATTGCTATATGCTCAATCAATCCCTTTCGATGTCGCGAATACATCATCTCGATTGCCCATTTCTCCCGGTCGGATCTATCCTCCTATAGCCGAATCTGCGCTCCACCTAAGCTCCGACGTCGCCAAACAATCAGCATCAAATACGAAATATCAAACAGTGTTCGGATTACTTTTCGCTATATAACCTCGCATCTCTCACAAAAAATTGACAAACCGATACCGATCAACCCAAATATGACTTGACCGAATCAACGTTCAATTGCTGACATCATACCTCTACAGCCGACTTTGTCCAGGAGCTTTATCTCAAGGAGCTCAAGGCCTACAAGATCCCCGCCGTCAAGGAGTCCGACGCTGAGGGCAACGTCCAGACATTCAACGTCCCCAAGACACCCGCCTCCCCCGAGGAGACCGACCTCGCTGGCAACCTGAAGGAGTACGAGAGCATGGCCGTTGAGATTGAGGGCCAGGACAGCTCTGCCCAGTCCGCCGGTACCCCCGAGGTTGCCGACTGGCTTGAGGCTGAGGAGGAGGATGAGGCTCACCACTAAAGCGTTTTTCTTATCCTTGGGAGCACATAGACTATCCCGACTGCAGCAAATATTGGGGGTTTATTTCTCACCGCCCAGCCGCCGTTTCATGGGGATAGAAAAAGAGGGAGGCCGACACCAACTCACCCCCGGGGAAGAAGAGCCGGAGCGATCAAGAAGAAAGGAGAAGCAGAAGTAAGGGGATTGGGGATAAGAATCCTGTGTACATTTTTCCTAAAATTCAGCCTTTTTTCGGTTGCCCGTAGGAACTAATTGCGAAATGCGAAACGTCAAATGAAGCACAAGCAACTTGTTACAACGATCATTTCCAAGTGACTATATTTCATAACATGTGAACCCTCAACAATATGTCTATCTGTGGTGATATCTGATACAACCCGTGCGTCTACCTCTCAAGCTCCCGACCTCCGACGCCGCAGGGCCTATGCCGATCAGCCTCGTATGCCTTCTGACATCAATGATGTATCCATGACTTCAACTTCTCCCGGATACTCTCATATAATGACAAACATCATTCATCCCCTAAGCTATACTACACTAGCTCTGGGTTATCGACGTCAGGTGGCAATCAACGTCATCAACAACCACAAGACGGAGAAGGCTGGATTCGAACTCTTCCATAGGCTACTATATCCAACCAGGACAAGTCCAGAATAAACCGAAAGAGACCGATTTCCCTTCCGGGACCTTCCAAGAATAGTTGTGGCATTCTCATTTCATTACTCATACGACCCTCCTGTTATTGCTGGGAATCAAACTAAGGAAAATGGCCCTCAAAAGAGGGATCAACCAAAATGGACATGATCCCTCCTATTTTTTGTTTCTCGTTCTCTCTCTCGTCTCATTTTGCACAACCATAAAACGCCATCAGTCCTGTACAGCTAGACGACCAATGCAATGCAATACCAGCCGACCTCGATGCATATAATTCCACAAATTAGACATCCGTAACCCACATGCAAAACTGGGGAAGAAGAGGTGAAGTTTTTGGTTTTGCGAAATATTACTTTTTGCTTTCTGTATGACACGTAGAGATAGATAGATCTCCAGCATGGTTGAAACGCCGTGGAGCTTGACTTCAATAATAACGTGCAAGAAAAAGGAATTGCCGCATTATACGTCAAAGTGAGAACCTCCCACCATGTGCTCGTCATGTCCAGTCTTCACGATCCCGCTCATCCGGTTTGCCTTCCTGAGGTCAATGTCGTCGAGATTGTCCCAATCGTCGTTATCGCGGTTCCTATGGTTTTGTCCATCGTCCATATCTTCATCGACAAGTCCTGCTCGGTCTCGCATGTGATCATCTAATGCGCTTTCATCAACAAACGTGAAGCCTTGGAAGTTGGCCTGAACAGAAGGAGAAAGAGGAGTTGAAGCGGCATAGCCTCGGGCCAATGCAGCAGCACGTTCGTTCAGAGAGCCATTCTGATCCAGCGCGGTCGTGAATTCCGGATCGAAATATGAGACATCTGTCTCAGACTTCAATTTGGGTTTGAAAGGTGGAGTGATAAGCTTCTTGGAGAGAAGAGTCCAATCCACATCGGCAAAGAAGGGGTGCCTCTTCAGCTCCTCGGCGTCATCAGTCGCACCTAGTCTGTGCTTGGGGTTTCTATTGAGGAGTCCCTTGACGAAATTCCTTCCTTCCTGAGAGAGGGTATCTCGAGGAAACCTCACCTTGCCGAAGGCAATATTCTTATACATTTGCTGCGTATCTTCGGCATAGAATGGGCTCCAGCCACAGCACATCTCAAAGACCAAAACTCCAAGCGACCAGAAGTCCACCATCTTGGTGTAGCCAGATTCGTCCAGCAAAACCTCGGGCGCAAGGTATTCGGTTGTTCCACAGAAAGTGTTGGTAGTGTCGTTCTTTGTAAGATTGGCCTTGGAAAGACCAAAGTCACACAGGGCGATATGTCCGTTAGCATCCAAGAGGATATTCTCAGGCTTCAAATCCCGGTACACAATGTCGTTATGATGAAGGTGCTGAATGGCCAAGATCAGTTCGGCGATGTAGAACTTGGCTCGCTTCTCATCGAACCGACCCTCTTTCTGTAGATGCCAAAACAGCTCACCTCCAGACATATAATCGGTAACGAGATAAAGTTCTGATGGTGTCTGGAAAGAGAACTTGAGGCCAACGATAAAAGGTGAGTCGGACATGGCGGTCCGAACCAGAATATTTCGTTCTCCCACGGTATGGGCAACTTCCTTCTTTTGCACAATAACCTTCTTCTGCAGAACCTTCATGGCGTAAATGCGCTGGGTATCCTTCTTTCTCACTTGATACACCTGACCAAAAGTGCCCTTGCCGATGAGTTTGAGAATTTCAAAATCAGTGGGGCCAAATTGTTTCCTCTCTGCTCTGTGGTAAATGGCCTCAAGGAAGATCTCACCAGTTGGCGCATTTTCTGCCATGGTATCAGCATGGCCCTGCAGCCGGAACCAGCCCTGGACGGTAGCACCAGGATCCTTGCTGGCCTGAAAATCAACATGGCCGAGAAATTCATCGCCCGTTGCTCCATGATCATAAACCGAGACATCAACCAGCATATCATAGTCCACGACGTCGCTGCTCAGTGTCAGTAGTGAGTCTCAGACACAACTGTCCACACAAGGTAACTTACAACTCAGCTTCGGCATCCCATTTTGGGTTGGTAAATGTGAGCTGACCTCCGGATCGGTTACGGAACGAGCCGTAGTCATTAATACTGGTGTTGCTGCTTTGCCTGCTCCTCATGGGAATAGCCAAGGGACGCCCAGAGTCACTGCCTGATCGCTGGATAGGGATGCCACCAGCAGCCGGAGGTGGCTCGACACTGAGGTTATCGTCCTCATCGATGTGGTGGGGACCGCCAGAGATGAGCTCACTACGCTGAAAAACCACAACAACATAAGGGTCCCGACTCTTCCTAAGCCCACGAGCCTCATTGATCTTGATTGTTAGCTTTCCCTTGGCGGCAGGCGCCTGGGCACCAGCAGAACTCCTGGGAGTCTGAGTACCGCTGACTTCAGCACCGTCATGACTGGTCCTCCCGGAGGAAGGGGCTCTATCGGAGCCAGATGGTCGAGCAGCCGACATTGCTCGAGTAGGAGTCGAGTTGCCGCTCTTGAACGTCATACGAGTTAGCTCCTTGAGTCCATTAAGAAAATGCCACTTGCCGGGGGCAGCAGCTGAACAGGCGCCTGAACTTGCACTGGGCTCAGGATGCGAAGGAATGATGGAGTCTTTGGTAGGTGCTGCGTTTTTGGAGGAGTCAAGTTCAGGTAGTGATGGGTCACTGGAAGTTTGAAAGTGGGTGGTAGTGAATAGTGAGGCTGTGGGTTTCTTGAATTGTGACTGCTGTGTAAGAGACTTTTGCTCGACCGTAGCCCTGCCATGCGCCCCTGAGTCTGCAGAAATCATGTCCTGGGAGATAGAACCCCCCGAAGACGAGGGCTGAGAAGTGGGTGGGGTTGGGTAGGGGTCCGAAAGGTTATGCTCATCCCGCTCAGTGGTACTTGGCATAGAATCAGGACGCTCATGTTGAAGAAGCGAACGACCCAAAGCCGAGGACTCACAGCCGCGAGGAGAGCCTTCGGTGTGTGCCTGCAACTGCAGGCCGGTTGGTGGAGTGGGCTCAACTGGAATTCGGTCTAGAGTGGTATCACTCTGTGACGGATTGGGATCTGACGAAGGCGTAGAAGGGTATTTACGAACCTGGCCGAAGTAGCTCATGATTCCTGGCAAGCGTTTGTCCTGTAGATCGGGTTGAGGTGTAGCTACACCGGATCGAGGAGTATCGAGACCAATGTGATCGGCGCCATCCTCGTCTGCCGCAGACCTGACGTTTTTGTTAATAACCCCATGCATTTTTGCAAAAGATTTCCAGTGAGTGAATAAATGCTTCTACGCCGAAGCAGCGGCGCGGGGAAAAAAACAAAGTGGGAACACTAGTTCATGACGGTTGCCAAGCGCGTCAACTAGAGGGTAAACAGGGCAAAGGCCGAGAGGGGACCACCAGAGGAGATGGGCAATAACAGAAGAGGTGGACTCTGACGATGCGACTATGACGAGAAAAACACGGAATGGGAAGGCCTTTGGAACTCTTGGTAGCCAGTGGTGTGTTCGCGCCGGTGTGGATGCGGAAGAAGCGCCAGGACCAGCGAGCGAGCAGTAGAGGTTAGGATGGGATGCGAGGCCTTGCCGAGAGCGGCCGTGTAAGACGAACCGTGAAGGGACCAAGTGGAGGCTCAATACTAGAATGTAAATGGTAAAAAGGACGATGACGAGATCAATTCTTTCCCGCGAGTAAAACCTCGCTTTGCGGCTGGGGTCAGGCTTGTCCAACAAGCTTCCTTTTGCCTGAGGACTTTTGCCCAAAATTGTTTGGACCAGGAGCAAAACGTGGAAAACTGAAGCTGATAGCGGGGCCGAACGTAGGGACTGACTCCGAGGCTGGGCAGCCTTTGTATTGGGCCCAATCACAATTGAAGCGAGTCAGACCTGAGCTTGCAAAGTTGCAACATGGTCCTTGTAAAAAAAAAAAAAACAAGAGTAAAAGACGAGTTGTCTCTTGCATGTGGGAATGCGAATGCCACAGCAGCCATTGATTGCTCATTTGCTTTTTTGTTTGGAACAGGCTGTATCCAATTTTAGAGCCTGCAAAATGAATTCGAGACGACGGCGGCGAATGCTCGGTTCCACTGCGATGGCGAAGTCAAGTCGAAGGGACGGCGACGCCTTGATTGGTATTTGCGTGCTTCTGGTATAATAGAACCGCCTCTCCTCTGGTTGACGAGACTAGGATCGAATGTCGTGTTTTCCATGTTTGCCGGGCATTGCCAACAATCCCAGGGCAAAGGCTCGACCGCTGTTATGGGGAATCCATGCTCTGGCTGCCAACGCAAAGGCGAGACGTCGTCCTGCAGTGCGGTTACAGGGCAGCTGTCCACTAGATAGAGCCCAACAGGGCCCAATAGTGGGATGCAGTCCTGCGTGAACAGCTGTAGCTGCCAGCAGCGGTTCCATTTCCATGTGAGGTGATGTGGGTTCCCATCGGCGGGCGGTGTCGTAGAACAAGGGATCCAATGGCAGCTCTAGCCGGAACAGGCGTCTCTGAAGCTACTGAGCTCGAGTGCTGCAAGTCCGTCATCGTCGCCACCACCAATTGCGCCTGGTGAGGGGCATGGCAGCACCACAGCACTGGAGGTCAGGATCCAATATCGATCTCGAGTCCCCGCCAAAAACAGGATGAAAAGAGCGCCAGATTGTAATAGCAATAGCACGCAGAAGAGAGAGCAAAAACAAGGCAAAACAGTACTTCAAGACGACAGAGAAAAATTATTCACGAACCTAGACATCATTGCTTGAGTTGCTCTTCGTAGCAGATCAAAACCTCCTCCCGCATTGGAAGTCTCAGTGCCCGTCATGGCTGGCGGCGAGGAGCTTTATTAAAGCTGCCGCGGCTTAAAAACAGGGCCGAATTGTTGCGGCGGAGGAAGAGAGGGGCGAAGCGGGTATATTGCGTGAGATGAATCGTATAACGTTATCGGATTGGGCGTCGGTGGCCCAGGGATCGTTGTTCGAGTCGAGGGTAGGATGAAGTCGCGATAAGAGACGATAATCAAGCACAGTCGACGGAAAATATGATGGTTATTGTTGAGAAAGAGAGAGGGGAAAGATTGAGATGGCGCGAGTAGAAGAGGCGATGGAGATGATAATTAGACGTCTTTTTGGGGCAAGGTTAAGGTGAGGTGGGAGTGGGTGACCTGGCGCTGGCTTTGGGGGTGTTGAATTTAGTACAGTGCGCAAGAAGTAGGGGAGGTTGGAGCACTTTACAAGCCGTGGCAGCTTGTGCTTTCTTTTCAACTTGAAATCGAGTATTGATTGTTTAAGTCGAACAAATCGAAAGCAAACAAATTAGCCCTTGAGAGGGTTCGGTAGTCGGTGAGAGATGCTGTAGAGCTCTGAAGTACTTGTATGGAGAGGTTGCATGATTAGGTATTCATTCAGGTACTTGATTACGGTTCATGTTATCGGAGACAGCCTCAAGTAGTGCTTACATCACCTACTATTCTGGATTTAAACTCGCTGCTAAAATCCGAATCGTATAGCAATTTACGTTAGAATTTATGTTACAGTTGCGACCTGTCTTCTCTATGAGGCTGAATAGGTACGTTTATGTTTCGGTATTCGGCTTTACAACCCAATGTCCACCAGGATGAACCGAGTTGGACACTGACCTGTTGAAGTTGGCTCGACGCCATCCACCCAAAGGTTCGGAGTTCTTGGTTCTTGCAGAGAAAATAACCCCGCCTCTTGATAAACCGATAACGGGTTTGGAGATACGTTTGCAGTCAAGCCTGCATTGGAGATAGGTCTATGGAGCTGAAGGTGGATGCATTAAGAAATGTCCATGACATCAGCGCTGCTGGAAACGAGCTGATGGGACCATGCCAATATTGTCGACTTGGCTCTGACAACAACTCGAGAAGCCAGCGAACTCAGGCATGATACACCGTAAGTTGCCATCTGGCTGCTGACAAAACAGCGGTGTCTTCTAGAAGATGCAAAACTCCCAGTTGGTTTGGGTAAGGTAGGTTGTTTGGGTTTCAACTGAATCATGATACGCACCCTATTGAGGCGTATCCACAGATTACAGCAGACACTCCACAGTGCGAGTGCGTATTTCGAATCGAGCTACGACTTACACCATAAGGGCTACCTAAGAGGCCGGCAAGTGGAGGAGATGATCCCTCTGCAATCGCAATTCCCATCTTCTGAGACGACAGGAAACAAACTTCCAACCACTCGCTCACTGACTAGTGGGGCATTTCACTTCTGGCGGGGGTTCAACAAGAGTTCTTCATTGCTGCTTGCATGCCATTCTTATTACACATCATCAACATCAGCAACCGGCGGCAACCTAAGGCTTGGCGAAACATGCGTGCTGCATTGGCTTGGCTAATAGTCTGATATCTCACTTTGTTAACCGCTTTGCCAACAATGAGTTGTACGGTGTCTGGATCGATAATACTGTATGGCTAGCCATGAGTCTAGAGTGAGCCACTGCTATCCATGAAGATTTCGGGTGAAGCATTATGATATCTGGTTTTGATCATAATAACCCAATAACACGCATTTCGATGGCACGTATCCCTAGTTGACCTCAGCCCCACCACAAGACAACACAAGAAGAGCTTAACAGGGTCTTATTCAGCACCAGCACTGCTGCAGCTGATCAGTGGAATATGAACATCTCGTGATAGGCTAAGGTATTCCAGTACATCTTCACAGAGTACCAAGAACTGCCTTGCAACCCATAAGCTTATGGTCCCTTTCGGCTCGGGGCGACTTCCTCGTCCCGTCAGGCCCAAAAAGATCCAGCCGTTCCATGGCATGCAGGATCTTTTCTGTGATTGCTCAACTCTAATTAGGTACTAGGTCCAGGTAGAGAACCTGAGAACCCAGGCCTGCCAGGTAACCGACCGATAACACAAGCCATGGATGTCGTGTACTCTGGTTCACCCTGCTTTTCAGCCTCGCTGCATCAACATCGACCTCAGCATCAATCATTGGTCATTAATCTGGTTGCCTACAGTGTGTTACACCGGATCTTTGGTGAACCGACAATACGGATACGGAGTCTCAGCATTTGCATGAGATCAGTAGGTAAGGTAGTTATGCCCGGAGCAAAGTAAGCGACTGCAACATGACTTTATTGCCACTATCTTGAACAAGGGTATATTGACTTTTGGTCTGCTGCTTGAGTCATCTGAGTGCATTGATTGAAGTTTTGTTTCAGATAAAAGACTGCATTTGTGCCAATTCCTTGGCATACAGTACAGTACACTCGGGACAATATGCGCAGTGTTCCACATCTTTCAACCCAGATCTGATGCGCATACTTGTGTACTCCAGGGGACCTTATTCTCCTGCCTCGATGACATAAGTTCGCGTCCATTATGATCTATTCTCAATCAAAATCAAAATCTGATAGGCAAAATAAGGGTTCTAGTTTATTGTCCATGGCTTCTCTGGTATTGTGAGGCGTCGCATGCTTCAACTCATCCGCGGTTGGATTGACTTACAACTGAGACTTCAACAGGGCCTGCCGTTCTCGTTTGTAACATTGTATCGACCAACTAAGTCATCACAAGCCTGGTCCTAGTATGATGATTGATCGACTTCCAGCTCTTGCTGCAACCTTCCCATGTGGCTGTTGTGTTACAATCCCCTGCCCCATTGGGCAATATTCTGATTGTGACACCTCAAACCAGACACATCGACTTGCTAGTGACATTTTGAGAGAAACATAGTAACATTAGCCTTGAGTGAACTGGTAAAATATGCCAGGGGTTCACAATGAAGCATGACTAGTCCTGTAAGCTGAAATGCATGGCGCCTTATGCCTGGGACACTGCCATAATGTCAGCTTTTTATATCCAGGCTGAGCTGATCACGTTTACACGGCATATCACCGAATGTATTTCAGAGTTTTCATAATAGATCCGATTGATTGGTGTATCCCTGGCATTTCCGTAGCAGAGAATGATAAATGACGAGATTGTGACGAGATTGTGACGATATTGTGTATTGAATGGCCATGAAGCTCAACCAATATGTATAACATATACTTTTGGTGACAATGAAAACAGCAAGGCACTTGGAAGATACCACATCGAGCCTCAAAAGAGCTCTATTTATTACATTGTAAAGAAAAGGCAATTATGAATATAAATTCTGAGATACTCCTGAGAGACTCTTAATAACCTATTTAGTCTGTCAACTGGTAGATATATTTTAGCTCTGGCCTGATATAACTTGTGCTCCTTATATAACTGAATGTTCTACTAGGGTGTGTTTTATTATCATTGAATATTCAAATTATCATACAAATACGAACAACAAGACTCGTAAGTGCAAATGGCCAAGAAGTTGGAAGTGCCAAACATAAATGCTCTCGAGGAACGTTTGCAATAACATCAGCAAGTTACTCGATACCAACAGATGCTTTATTATCATAAGGAGGAGTCAAACTATGTATTGTTACACTAAGTATCAGTGGTTGAAAGAGGGACATTTCTTTTCTAATACGTTCACACATAGATTGCTCTGAACATACCGCCGCGGGAGACCACTGCCGTTAAGTAGGCATTGAGGAACTCATTCACTGTTCTTTTTCAACATCTGAAGCCATCTCGCTTCCATCTCCGGAGTAACGCCTTGGGGGTAAACCTGAAGCGGTGCTCGAGGCTTCAAGGGATCTGGATAGTTTACTAGAGGACTTGTCAATGACTACACCAGAAAAGATTCTTGAGCCGAAAATCTTACGCATGCTGATATGCTGATCAACTAGCTTTGAGCGCAACGTCTCACTTTCTTCTGCATTTCTCCTCGAGCTTGTGTTGGCGGCTCGGTCGGCCGTTTCGTGTTGAGGAATAGGTGATGAACGTAATCCGCCAGCCATTGAAGCGGTCAATAATAGAGATATCTAAAGGATAAGAATGAATCTTGGTCACAAAATCAAGGCTAGAAAAGGCCAGTAAAGGGCTAGAAAGGAAGGTCTTTAACAATGGTTCCGAGTAGGAATGTATTTGGCAAAATGATTACAAGACAAGAACTTGGTTTTCAGTGTTAAGTATAAACATCCACGGATCAAATGCAACAGTATATCAAGATTAACAGCCAAAAACCAGCCCAGCCCAGCCCAGCCTATACCTGTTGCCCCACCAAGATGACAAGCCACCCCGCAATCTTCCATGAAATCCACAAGCTTTGAACAGTTGTAAAGAGAAACGAGGTTTGTTACATGCTGTCTAACAAAATGCACATATAATTTTTCATTTCCCTGTTGTGTTTTTGTATTCCGGATTTACCTTCCATTGCTTACCTGGGTCCAGGGCGTTAAACAGAAACACCTAAAATAAGGAAAGAAAGCAGGTGCCTGACGTCGTGAATTCCATTTCAAGCCAGCTCAGCTCAGCTTTTGGGCCTAACCAAAAACCCACCAACATCAGCCTGTTCCATTCTTTCTTTTCCAACCCAACTGAACAAACATCAATTGTTGGCTGAACCTCAACTCCATGCTCAACTTCACGATTTCCAATAACACTGTCAAGCATCTTTTCCCTCGACGAAGACGACGGCGCTGACATATACACAATAAGCAAGACTGTCCTTGCGCAAGAAAAGCTCTTCATCATGGGCAAGAATACCACAGTGATCCCTGACGCCTGGGAGGACGATTGGGAGGCTCAGGCGGACAAGATGGCCAATGAACCTGAACAGCCCACACAGCCAATGCCTCTGTCCAAAGCAGAGCGCCTGGCGCAGCATGCTGAGCAGAATCGCAAGTTGTGGGAATCTGCGTAAGCGCTCCCACCTCAGCAACATGTCCAAGTGTCACACTAACATGAGGATCGTATACAACAGCGACGCACCACAAACTTTCCACTATGTCGAAGCTGGTTCAAACTCGGGGGTTCCTCTTACGACTCCGTTCAAACCACAAGTCAAAGTGCTTAGCCGAAAGCCCATCATCGCTAAGCGCGATGCTACAGCAGGGATGTCTGGCCTCTCATTAGATGACGATAATGAAACAAAGAAGGAGGTGCCGATGAGTCCAGAAGAAGTGCGAGCAAAGCAGAAGCGAGACAGAGAAGAAAAGCAACGTCGATACGAAGAAGCCAGGGCCAAGATCTTCGGAGAATCGAACCCATCTTCAGGAGCCTCATCACCTGGCACAGTTACCCCGCCAAAGGTAGATGGATACGCTGGTCGTGGCCGTGGCCGAGGAAGGGGCGGATACAGGAACAACGACACACGACAGTTCGATAACCGTCAACCTGAAAATCGTACATTTGATGCTCCACGAAGAATGCAGAACATGTCAGGCTCAGGGCGTGAACTCTTCGACCCTAACTACAGCCCAAAGCCCGAACAGCCTGCTCAAAGACGACAGCCAGATTATTCATCCCCTGGCAGGAGTGTAACTCCTCGGGATGAGCAGCAACAGCAATTGCAACCACAGGCACCAATTCGATCACCAAAGGGACCAGACGGAAGTGGTCGTGGAGGGTTCGGCTTTGCTCAACGAGGCGGCAGGGGCAGTTGATTGTTTCTATCGACATGCTTCTACCATCCACCCCCAATCTTTCCGGCCAGCTGCACCACCGTCTCATCCGTCGTTGTATCCTTTCCAACATCGCTAATAACCTCACGATATGTCGTAAACGCCAGTCTATCTAAGCCAATACCTGTAACTTCCGCCCAATGCGCCAGGGTATCATTTATATATGAATGGGAAATGCCACCAATAGTCTCGGCAGTCCCGTCAACGGAAACCTCAGTGCCCGCCTCATCTCCGGAGAAGTATGCCTCGTCGACCTCTGACAACCACAGCTTTTGCTCTTGAGGACCTGGATTTCCGGAGTAATTCTTTCTTTCCATGACAACGGGGTCATCGACTTTTATTTGGCCGCCGCCATTTGTACAGCCGCCAGGGCATGCCATCACTTCAACATAACTATACTCGAGAGAGGCTGCCTTGCCTGCAGGCTTTCGAGCACTTCCAAAAGGCTTGCCACCGGGCATTCGAGACGGCCTGGCCGGCTTTAATCTTCGAACGAGATTTTGAATATTTCTGAAGCCATAATATCGGGCAGCACGGAAGACTGGCTCGCCATTCACCAACACTGAGTACTCAGCAACATCAACGTTACGGCCACGAGTATGCACAATCTCTGCGCCAGGGGTCTGTGCCGCCCGGCTCTTGAGTATATGATATAGCAGACCCCCTGAAGTGCCGGCTTCGCGAGGTACATTTCTGGTACGTTTCCGAGGGAAAAGAAACTCGTGGAGCTTTGGATCAGGGAATGGGGTTAAAGTTTTGCTTTGCAGCGGCGTCTTGGGGATATTGAAAAAGCTGAGACCTCTTGACTCGGCGAGCATGAGAATCTCCTTACTTGTGATGACACAGTCGACATCGCGAACTCCTCGTCCCCGAGTCTCTCCTTCAGCCCAAACCTCCTCGGTCAACTCCTCTCTGCTTGCCTCAAGTTTCTTGTCAAAGCAAGGCATAACAGCCAGATGCCAGATACGGCCAGGAGCAATACCCAGTGTTCGACTCAGTGTCGTCTTTAGTAATGTGCCCATTAAGGCCTGTGGCGACTTCACCTTTGAAATATGGGGTAGAACGTGTGGATGTGTCTTTTCCGCGTAGCACACCCAGCCAGGGCAGGACGAGGCTAAGATGGGTCTGGCTGGGGTTGCGGTTTCGGTCTGAGAGGGGCCGAGAACTTCATCTGCTCCAAGAACGAGGGTTGCCTCTCTTGCAGTATTGGTGTCAACCACCCATGTGAATTCGTTATTATATTTGCCGCCACTGGCGATTCCCGATGGACCACGAAAGAGGTTGTCCAGCATGTGCCCTGCATCGCCCTCTGACACGCCCCCGCCACATGCTGCCGCTAAGTTGGCCCTTGTTTGAGGGCTCACACTGACAACAAAGAGCTTTGCGTTCTCGTCCTCTAGACCTTCCACTCTAAACTTGCCACTGTCGTCTGTCACCAACTTCAAGGCTGGGGCCGAATCAAGGGTTGTGAGGACTTCGGCATGGCTCTGGAGGCTCACTAGGACAGCCTCGGCGGATGTAACACAACCGGAGCAGGCTAGACAGTCTGTGAGGGAGATCTGAGCGGGCGCATTCGGATTCGTAGCGGGCTGTTGGCCGTCAAGTATAACTTCGGTCTCGAGAGATTGTGATTGCGGGGGCGGGGCAGCGGGGAGAGTCTCGACGGGTTTGATGCAAGCGACGCCAGGAGAGATGAAGTCGTTGAGGTCGTCGGCAGAGAGAATGGCACTCATGGCGCCGGTTGTTTTGAAGAGAGATTGTATGAGGTAGAAAAGGAGGCCGTTGTTGGAAGTGTGAGAGTTTGTCGATGGTAGGGTGTTCTTGTCGAAGTGGAAGTTGCCTCTCGGGAATTTTTAACTGGGGACTTGGATGTAATTGTGACTGGAGCAAACTAGCTGACAAATAAACCTGCAGTCTTTTCCTGAAGGTTTGCAGTAATGAAAGATCAACGAGAAGAAATATTAATATAAGAACAAAAAGGTCTCAAGTTCAAGCCAAAGATAATGTATGAAATGTTATGATAGTCACTCAATCCCAGGTTGGCTTACACATGGGCCTGGTTTTGTATAACTCCTCGGAGGACCGGACACGGCGAAGACGGCGTATCAGGCCGTGCCAAAGTAATAGATAGGCAATAAAAACGGTGTGATTTGCAATGGTGATTTTTAGACCCTCCACATTCTGGGCCTCTCCGCGGAACAGTGGACAAGCGAGATCGGACCAGACAGAAGCGGCTCTATAAATTTCGGTGGCGAACCACTGTACAACAGAGTCAACAGACTGGTCTAGCCTCTCGGTTCGGGAGTGGGGGGTTCCATGATTGGAAGACCAGCCGGATGCGATGGGGCACATACCTTGTTGGTGGTGACGTCGATGCCTGGGTGGTCTAAGCCTCTGACTTCTTGACATATGATCAGCTCTAGAGTTTCAGCTTCAACTTGCATCTTCAATTGTAGCTTCTACTTTAACCAAATAGTAACCTTGCTTTTCATTTTATTTCAATCAAACAATACTTATACACAGTTCGAACAATGAGTGTATACGCTTTCACCTTCAAGCTCTTAATTGACCTACTGACAATTACTAGGCCATCGCTTCATACACCTATGGTAACTTTCTCTGGTTGAGCACGCAAGCTCTCCCTCTTATTCTCTGGCCATCGTTTGTTGGGTCTCTTCTTCGAGCTGACAATGAGACATCTACCAGTTGGGCTCCCTTACAGCTCCTCGCTATCGTATCGACTAACAACTCGCTAGCTTTGGAAATGTACTTTGGCCGCTCTTTAGGACTCGCTCTGCTTGCGCTCGGCCTCACTGTGGTGGTTCTCTCAGGCGTTCTTCCTCTCGATACTACTTCAAAAGGTAGCAAACTCCTCTCTTTCAGAGTCGCATTCTCTAACTCCCGACACCAGAAGCCCCCGAAGGCGCGCCGTCTCCCTATGCTTCCGCCGCGGTCCTCATATCCACCCTTCACCACGCTTCGAGCGCCTTTTACTGCTACGGTCGTTATTCCTGGACTGGCGAAACGGGGTTTCTACTGGGCTGCGTAGGTAGTGCTGTCTTTGCGACCTTTGGATTGTACTGTGTGATGTTTGCTGGTGATACAGCCATGACGAGCCGGTACCACAAGTTTGACCAGAGCACGAGCGGGTTCCCTTTCAAGAACTCTCAATCGTACCGGGCTAAGAAGAAGGCTCTGTGAGAACATGCTATGGGGGCGTATATGTGTATCGTTTAGAATTAAATCATGATTTTAGTCAGCTGTATCGGGAACTATAGCCCGTGTGTTGTGCTCCCAGTTTCCTCATAACCCAACTCCCTCAACTCCCTTCCCGTGAAAAGTTTATGGTACAAAAGCGTGCAGCTAGACCTGCCATGGTCGAGGTATCCGACGAATTCTAGCTGGATTTCGCCGAGGTGTCAAGATATTGGTGCTCCTTCGTGAAAGATTTTCCTACGCAGTGAGCTCTGCCACCTTTGTCCCGTTGGCGACTCCCTCACTTTCAACGTTCGCACCGTTTCTTCCCTCACCCTCGACGCTATCCACGGCACCAGGAACGTGGACATCGACAACCCCTGTAAGAATAGCCTGTCGTCGCTCATGCCAATTGACCTCGCTCTTGATGACCTGCGAGAGTAACACCTCCTTCTCGAGCCACTCCTTGTAGTACATTTCCTCCCACTCTTTGCACTCTTTCGTAAGAGACTCTCCAATCTCCTCGGCCCACTTGCTCTCCCAATGGCACTTCCGGTACAGCTTGTCGACAGGAAGCTCAAGCTCATCAGGGGTGAAGAGATCCGGTGTCAATGGTGTAAAGTACTCGGCGTTGGATTCATCGCCGTTAGCAGCATCGTCCATGTCGTCATGAGGGCCTTGCGATTGTTGGTTGGTCTTCATGATGATTTTTATCTTGCCTCCCTTGCCCTGTGGCCCAGCTTGCATCGACTTGGGAACAGGGTCAGATGGACGGAGTGCTTCTGTCTCGTGAACCGTACGCATGTGCTTGGCTAATGCGTCGCTTCGCGTAAAAGATCGGTCGCATTCTGCAGCGAGTTAGCATATTACACAGAAAATCTGCAGAGGTGACTATACCAGGTAAGTAGCAGTAAAAAGGCTTCTCCCTTGTATGGCTGCGCATGTGCGCCTTGAGTGCATAGCCACTGGCATGCGGCAGGCCCTTTCGAGTACAGCTCATCCATTCGCAGGTATACTTCTTCTGTCGATTCTCAATATGCGAGTTATGGATGTGTTCGACCAGCTTGTCCATGTTGCCCTGGTCGCCCGCTGGACACCCATCCCAGTCGCATTTCGTGACTTGTTCCTGGAAGTCTTCTTCGTCGAGACGAGCATTGATCGGGGAACTGGGGATATCGCCTGAGGTATCCGATGACACATCGGACATGCCCTCGAGGGGATCGGGCTCAGGGACAGCTTCGGCTTCGACATCAGGAACTACAGCAGATGATGTGGTTGAACCGGCTTCGAGTCTCTGGCGCTTTGAGGGTCGCAGTGTCGATTCATCGTATTCGTGACCATCCTCTTCGTATTGGTCTGACTCGTCCACTGATGAGAGCGGCGATTCAGGTGGTGAGTAGTCGCGTACCATATTCGCGACCTGGGCGCTCAAGCGCGTCTCCTTATCGATGAAGCTGAGTGATTGCGCGGGGTTAACTGTTATTGAGGATATTCGAGTAGTGAAGGAATTTAATGAGCTGTTGGGTGATGATTGAGATGCGGAAATCACTGCGAGAATCTTTGGTAAGCGGGTTGGTGATTGTTTAAGGTGTGAGATGATGAGTTGCTCGTTGTTCAAAAAACGCCAGTTGGAAGCTTAGTAGCACAGTGTTAATAAGACGATGCCAGAGCATAACATCGTGCCATAACAACTTAGCTACCACAGTGTGCACGTCTGCAAGGGACAGTATGTGATACATTCAGGCAGGGAAACTGCTGATTTACACAATAGAAACCTGACTATTTCATATTGAATTATCGCCTATTTTCTTATTCTCTGTTGCTTGCCAAATTCCACCATTTTGCTTCATGCTTTTTTATCTATCCTTTGAATCAACAACCCATTAAACTCCAAGCCTTGAACCAAATATGCGAGCTATTGCAACAATATGCAACCCCAATCCCAAGAAACATTGTTTTGGATCGAGCGCTAAACGTATTACATGCCCAGAATGTGGTAGAAATCAGACTTTAAGCTCCGTTTGAGAGTTTTCGGCGGTCTTTCACGGCCTGCGCAAGAGTGTCGAGTGTTGAGACAGTGTCTTCCCAGCTGATACAAGCATCGGTGATGCTTACACCATACTTGAGTCCCGACTTGCCCTCAGCGGGAACCTTTTGGTTACCTTTGACGAGTTAGCTGATGGTGATTCTGTTGAAGATGTGGACTGTGACTTACCCTCATTGATGTTACTCTCAATCATGACTCCCATGATACCCTCCTCTCCCTTGGAGATCTGGCCGGCAATATCGGCAGCAACCTTGGGCTGGTTCTTGTGGTCTTTAGAAGAGTTACCGTGACTGCAGTCGACCATAACTCGCTGTCGCACGCCCTTCTTCTTGAGCGCTTCCTTGGCAGCAGCAATGCTCTCGGCATCGAAGTTGGTACCCTTGGAACCACCACGAAGGATGACGAAGCAATCATTGTTGCCCTCAGTACCAACGATGGCGACAACACCAGGCTTGGTAACGGAGAGGAAGTGGTGGGGGTGCTGGGCTGCACCAATGGCATCAATGGCGACGTTCAGAGAACCATCGGTTCCGTTCTTGAAGCCCACGGGGAAACTCAGACCACTGGCAAGCTCACGATGAAGCTGGCTCTCGGTTGTACGGGCGCCAATGGCACCCACTGAGAGCAGATCGGCGAGGAACTGGGGAGAAATAGTGTCCAGCATTTCACTGGCAATAGGCATGCCCTTGGCGGTAAGGTCGACAAAGAGTTGGCGAGAGATTCGCAGACCCTTGTTGATCTGGAAGCTGCCATCGATATCAGGGTCGTTGATCAGACCCTTCCAGCCAACAGTTGTGCGTGGCTTCTCGAGGTAAGATCGCATGACGATGAGAAGTTCATCCTTGTGCTTCTCTTTCTCCTTCAAGAGGAGGTCGCAGTAGGCTAGGGCGGCAGCAGGATCGTGGATGGAACAAGGACCAATGACGACAAGCAATCGGTTCTTCTCGTCAGTGCCATTAACAACGGCCACAGTCTCATTACGACCTTGTAGAACGGTCTTCTTGGACTCGGGGGTTTGGGAGATTTCGTGTTGAAGGAGATCGGGGGGAGTCAGAGGGTTGTAGCCGCGAACTAGGAATAATTAATACATGCGGTGGAGGGACAAATTGTGTAAGCCAGAGCTTATGGCAGATGCTTACTTCTCCAATCTTCCGAGTCGGCTTGATTGCCAACATTCTTGTTGGGAATGAAAAACTGACATTATCGTGAGTCACCCCTCACATTGAGAGCAGAGAGCTCAAAGAGATGGACTTACAGAAGACATGGTGACGGCGATGGTGGGGTTAGAGGGGATACAAGTCAGAGTGGGATGTAAAGAGAAGAGAGATTCAATTGCGCGAATCTGAGAGCACCACAGAAGGAGGAATATGATAATAGGAGTCGAGTGTGAAAAAGGAAGAATAACATAAAAGAAGTCGTCTCAACAAGGGCCAAAAAATTATAGTTTATGAGGTTTCCAGACCCTGACCTGTCCCTTTCTTCCTTCCTTTTCCCTTTGCGCCGGCCTCGGTGTGTCACACTCAAGAGAGTCACTCCACGGTTGTCAGGTTCGATTATCCCACCACTGATTGGATGGAATGAACTTTGCCCCGCACTCTAGCTGGCCGGTTTAGCAGCGATCACAAGAGGTACAGGGCGGAAGCGTGCAATCCTGGTGGAGGATCAAGTACCCATTGTCTAAGTGAACGGGAAGGAAGCTCCAGATTTTTAGCTTGACTCACCTTGAGCCAAAAGATGAAAATGGCCACTACTTGCCACTTTGGCTGGTGTGTTTTTGCACTAATTAAAGCCAGACGTTTATAGGGGCAGCCGTTGGGCTAAAAGTTCTTTGTTGTTGAGGTGAATTATATCAGAACATTCATGGTCTGGAGTTGAGCTTTGCAATACCATGCTTAATACGACTTCTGTGCTCCCTCCTACACCTCTATCGGCAGAGCTTTCGTGCACGCAATTAACCTTTCATTCTCATTGGTTATATGCCATTCGTGGCTGTTGGCTTTTCATTGTTGTTCCCGTAGGGGCCCATCAAAGCACCACCAAAACCAACACTACCACCACCGTATTCAGTACCGAAGTCAGCAGGTGTATCTGATCAAGCTCCCTGGATAGGCGAGAAGTTTTCTGCAGAAGGATAGCTGAGGCTGAGATGACCTACGAGGCGAATTTTCTTCTCGTTATACAGCTAATCGCACGACTCAGCAGAGCCAGGTGAGCTCTGTTGGAGTTGGCTCACCCTATCCATCGTTCCAGGCGTGTATGACAACGCTCCGGAGCTACTATCACTGATATAGAAAACAAGCTCCAGTCAATCGAAAAGTGAACATCATATCGAATCGAATAACGCAATAATAACGGAATACCTTTTTTTTTATTCTAAATAGACATAATTATTTGCATTTAATAGCTGTACTAGGTACAGTTTCATCCCACCCTTTCCCATCCTTAACCCCCTAAATATCATCATATTATAATAAATTACACTATGCTATATGATGTTGCACTCAAAAATAAATTTCCAAACTCCTTGCTCAGAACTCAGACTCTTTCTCCTCTTCCCCGTCCTCCGTTTTCTTGTCTTCGGACTTGCCGCTAGCGAGGAACATGGCCTTGAAGTCGGCATTGCTCTTCTTGGTTGGCGCTTCAGAGTCGCCATTTTGCGCCATCCTGAAAAATTGCGACGTTATTTGAATAGTCGGGTTTGCAGCTGGATGAGCTATTGGAGGATCTGAGACACGTCGTCGTTGACGGGGGCCATATTGTTTCGAATCTCGGTTGCATCATCTCATGTATCTCTGGTTGGAGTCCTGATGCAGGAGAATTAGATCAGCCTTATCCTATACAGTAGCAAGACGATCGGCACATACAAATTGAGCATGTCCGAGGAGTCGCAGCGCCAATTCATGGACCTCGAGAAATGCATCATCTGCCATGTCATCATGTCCATTCATAGTCCAGGACATTCTAGGACTCTGCGATGCAACTCTCGACTTGGCGGATGGCCGAGTTGTTTTCTCGTCGGCAGCGTCCTCTTGGATACGACACGACCGCGGCCTAGGGCAGCGAATGCATATTCGTGAAAGCATCCAACTCGGCTCTCGAAGCAAGTCAAGGCAATGGAGCAAGGTGGAACAAAAACGGTGAAATGAATGATCGCTCGTCCATTGAGGGTGAAGTCAAACAGAGTGTTGAGTGAAGTCTACTCTAGAGTACAACCATTCCATCTACCGCCCAAGATCCAAACCAATCGATGGCTCCCTCTCTCGCTGCCACTTCTTCTGAAAAGAACCATTCCCCAACAAATGCCTGATCCCACTCCCTGATTTGGAGTTCTGAGGTCATCGTAGTCGGCAGCGAAGGAGTCCCCCTCCCCGAAGCTTCACCTCTCAGAAGGATGACGGTTGTCACCAGCGCGTGCGCACCAAGAGAAATAAGATGGACGCTCAGTAGATTAGCGGTATCTTCACTGAAGATCCACTCGGTTCACTGAGGAAGTTCTTACCTAAGGCGGGAAACTCATCAGTGATGAGACACAGCTGTGTATGTCGAACCGAGCTAAGGCTTGGCGATGAAGCAACAGCGTACAGTCTTCTGAGATGATGCCGACAAGATGGGATGGCAGAGCGTAGGTATAACGGCAAGGAAGGGAAGATGACCGACATGTAGGAACAGGGCTGGGAAGATAGAGTTGAAGGATGCTGTGAAGAGCGAAGGGAATAGCAGGAAGAGGAAGACGACTGGTGTCTCGGGGGCGGGTCGAGAAGATGAAGGAGATGAGGAGATGAGGAGATGAAAACGGAGCTGGAAGGGGTTTTTATTGTCGAGCGCAGTAGGGATTGCACTTTCTGTGTCTTCTCACGATGGAGAGTGATTCCTGCCTGGAGGATGACTCTGGTTGATGAGATAGGAAGTAGAGCTCTTGGTGAAAAGAGATGAGGTAGGTTAGTGATTCCGTCTTTCCTCCTGCTATCTTGACTACAGGACTCCCATCCTTTTTGCTGGTTCTCTTAACTACCGGGGAAGAATGGTCTACAACACAGCAGTTGTTTTTATCTGTTCGTATCTATTAGGTTATCTAACTCCTACGGATGGAATCGTCAGACAACAGTTGCCTTGGTGTCGCTCGTAGATGACATCCCAAGCCAATTTTGCAACTACAGAGTAACTCAGGGCCTTGAACTGCGTTCTGGCATTCCCACCTTCCTCTAAAGTACCACAACTTGCCGACTCCTTCCGCCCCTTAAGTCCTTTCACTTTCACTTCACTTTGCAAATCGTGGCAATCGTGACCTCTTCAGCAGAGGGAAAGACGACACTGCTCATTACATCATCGCCCGTCGTCGTTATCCTAGCCATAGCACCCTTCGCCCCAGCTCTCGCTCGAACGCCATGTTCAAAATCGAGGTGTGTGCCAAAATAATGACTCTGGCCACGTAGTCATTAACCTTAATCGCATATACTTTGCACAAACCAGCTGGGGGGGAAGATATTTAAGAGATAAATAAAACTTTTCTTTAATATCTAATACTTCACATACTTTTAGGAATGAGTCATATTCCGCTTTCTCCTTTTCTTCCTTCCTTCACAGTCACCAGCGCGTAAGAGGAAACTCGGGTGGCGATGGCAGCACTGACGACTGGGAAAGCCATGGTAGTGAATAGAGCAGAGGGGACATATGCCCTCCTTGGCTCTTTTCTGCTGTCATTTCAACGTCAACTAGGTAGGAACGTGCGATTCATATAACGCCCAAAGAATGCTTCTGCTCAGATCTACCTACCTACACCTAGGCACTTGCCTTGCCCCATTTTGACTCAGCCCGACCTGAGGTTACCGGATATTCCGTGAAGATCGAGATAGATTTGTGATCTTCGAGATCTTACAGCATGTCAAAAGCGAGCTAGTCCTATCTTGTCGTTATCAATATGGCGATGTGGGCGGTTCCGATGTTGCAGGCTTGTGCCCGTTCAGAAGTATTACTATATGATATCAATGTTAAGCACCTTGATATCCTCCTCAGGCTTCTCCTTGTGCGTCCGCACATTCTCAATTTTGTGGATGATGTCAAATCCCTGGGTAGCACGACCAAAAATCGTGTGCTTTCCATCTAGCCATGGCTATTCAACATCAGTACATGCTCATCATGAAGAACAGGAAATAAACTCACCGTCTTCTCTGTTGTGATAAAGAACTGGCTGGCATTCGTGTTAGGTCCTGCATTGGCCATGCTGACTGTAAATGGCTTATCGTGCTTAAGGCTACTGAACTCGTCTTCAAACTCACGGCCCCAGATACTCTCGCCTCCAGTACCATCACCGAGAGGATCTCCACCCTGGATCATGAACTTGCGGATTACACGATGGAATATTGTGTTGTTGTAGTAGCCGTTCTTAGAATGTGTGACAAAGTTCTCAACGGTCTTTGGTGCTGCGTCAGGGAAAAGGCGGATGTGAATGTCTCCATATGTAGTGTGAATAACGGCTCCGGTACCCGTCTCGGTCTTCTTCGCTTGTGCGTCCTTCTTGTTGCCCAGCATCGTCGGTTTCTCGTTCTGTACGTCTCGTGTCGACTTGGAGATGTCTTCCTCGTTTGAAAACATGTAAAACCGCACCTTACCAACACCAGTGGCAACCAGAATTGGATCTCGAGTCTCCGCTTCCTGTAAAAGGGGGTTACTGGAAGCACCCATCTCTACTGTCGTCACTCCCTTCTTCTGGGGTGCTCCTTGGTATATGGCGATGTTGACAGCGCGGAAGTTCTCATCCTTGCCATACACCTTGACCACTTGATTGGTATATGTATTAAGAACCTTGATCCCCAGCATGGAGCCGTAAATGATAAAGTTCCCTGACTCGTCGAAGATAACATTGGACTTGTACTTGAGCGTCTGCGATTCGATGTCTCTCTCATGAGCTGCCCTACGTCCGAACTCGACATTATCAAGTTTAGCAGTCCCCGCCCCTGAACGGTGCATCTCTTCAGCAACCTGCAAAGATTCGTCGTACTCGCGATGTAATTTGGCTGTTGCAAAGTCAAAGATACGTATTTTCCTATCCGGCAAAGAAAAAGCTACCAAGCTCTTGCCATTGGGAGAGATAGAAAGACATGACGGCACCGACTTAGCCTTTTTAAAATCGAAGAGGTTGGTCGAACTCTTGTACTCAAAAACTCCGTCTGGCTTTTCGTAGTCGCCGCTCGGTCGCCAATATTCGAGCATACCACCCTCATCAGCGGACACCACACAGTCATATGCCTCGTTGAACGTCATTAGATGCACAGGCTTCCTATGTAAGCCCTTGATAGTGTGAATAGCCTCTTCCTTCTCGCCTCGTCCGTCGTAGATATGAATCAAGGGTTTCGTTTCCTCGGATACAGCCAAGAGTGGCAGGGAGGCGCCCTTGCTGTGAACCCAGCATACGCAGTTGGGAGCGTAATTAAGAGAGATCATGGATAATAGGTCGAACGTGATAACATCGAAGATCTTGACTGTTTCGTCCACACCAGCAGTCGCGAAGCTTCGACCATCCTTACTCACGGAAACTGACTTAATCTCGCCATTGTGCGCCTTAAACTCCTTGACAAACTCAATGCCTTGTGCAATCTTCTTCCAGAACTTGACTACACCATCAATCGAAGAGGTGATGAGGAATTCGGTCAGGGGAGTCCATGTCGCAAAGAGGATCTGTTCCTTGTGCATCAGGGACTTTGAGTATCGGGGCGACTTTGGCAAAGCCGCGACGTAGAGCTTTTCGTGGGGAAGTACTCTTCTCTTCTTCTTGGGTGCTTGCGAGGGCAGTTGAGGGCCCATGTCATCGTCGGAGGAGCTGTCTGGACGATTTGTTAGCATCGTTAACTGTCGCGCGATAGGAAATGTTGTACCGGACGCATCGTCGCGAAACTCTGAATGATTACGCTTCTGTGAGCGATTTTCATCGTCTGAGGCCATCTTGGTTATCGGCCTGCTCCAGAAACGTAAATCCGTTGTTTCTAAGATGTTGCGACTCAGATGCAGTTTTGGTTGATTTACACTTTGCGACAGGCTAAGATTGTTGTCAAGGCAAATTCAGCCTCATGTGGCACGACCTCGAATTGTGGCTTCTCTATGCCCCACTAGGCACAGTGCTGTCAGGTCCACATTGAGGTCATGAAATCTATTAAACGTAAACGGGATCCCATGAGGTCCGAGACTCCGGCTCCGACGACGGGTCAAATCAGGTTCGTTTCCTTGCTTTAAATCATGTGAAATAGTACATGAAACGCAAACGTTTCTAGTCTTTCTTTCCTATTTTCCGTTCTACTTGATAAAATCTTTCCTCTCGCCTGCGACTTGTAGGTCTCACTTGGATAACCTCTTTGGAACACCATCATCATGGCACCTCATCACCCCCTTCAACGGCTTACGTCGCCCTCACGAGATGTCTCGCTATTGCTTCATATCATCGGAATAGCCTCTTTCAGTTACAACTTCCACTTTCTCACAGTCTGGGATACGCCTATAGCCAGGTCTTACGGATGGCATATGCAGTTCCTTACCATTATTGGCCTTTCAGCATCACTCATTGCCTTTGTACTCGGGGCATTGGCCGATATTACCCTCAGCCGAATACTCTTCCAGGCAAAGAATGCCGTTGCTGTTCTTGCTACGCCTCTGGAAGTTGTCATCTCAATCTTGTATTGGGGTCTGAGGCTAATTGACCCCAAACTGCTCATGCCTGATGACTTCTATCTGCACATTATCCCTGATATGGGATTTCATCTTGCGCCTGCAGTACTCCTTAGTCTAGATCTGGTTCTTCTTAGCCCTCCTTGGACCATCCCAGCTTACGGCATTATGGCAATCAGCACTGTCATTGCCTTTGCCTATTGGTATTGGGTTGAGCTCTGCTTTAGCCACAATGGATGGTACGTTGTTCTTGACTTCTCGGCGAGTCGGCCGAATACTAACATCTATAGGTACCCATATCCTCTATTCGAACTTCTTTCCACGACCCAGCGAGTAATGCTGTTCACATTTTCAGCTGGGCTAGTTACAGTCTCTTCCTCGTTCCTCAAGTGGGTGTATGGCCGAGTCAATGGCTACGAAAGAGCAGAAAGGGAGGTACATAAGCCTCTCAAGAAGCTTCAGTGACCTTCTAAATCAATGAATGAGGCAAATACCAAAGTATATAGACGTGTAAAAATAGGGGCGATGACATGAAGGATAGAGGCAATAGACATTGTTTGGCGTGGTGTCAATCACTGAAACATAGAAGGGCAACAGGCCTTGTCCATATATTGGAAGAATATATTCAAGAGAACTCAACATAAACATCTCACTTTTAGAGTCAGAACTTATGAATAATTGCTGAACATAATGTCAAGTCTTGGGTGTTAAATGGCGAGGACAACCAGTTAGTATTGCAGTGAGTGGCCCCGCTCTCACACAAACATCCATTCCCTTCAACCTCACAAACACACCCCACCAAAGTTCCTCAACTTTGACGATCAAACTGTGCAGCAGAATAGAACATAGACCAACTGTGCCGCCAAAGTTTATATAATCCCTCTGCCCCATAGAACAAGGACTATCTATTCTTCAAAATGGATATCGATGACATTCTTCGCCAAGTCGACCCCACGTCTCACAACATCCCCAGCGAAACACGCGACCTGCAAGCTTTGACGCGTCTCTGGGTCGCTGAGCGTTCAGCACCTGAGCTTCTTGAGTAAGTTTCACTGCTCTTCTTCCTGCTTTCTAATACTCACGATATCTAGGTGGCCAACAGATGGCTTGTTTGAGCGCGTCAATGCACGCATCAAATCCCAGATCGAAAAGGTGGAGGATATGACGGGTGACATGGATCCAAAGACCAACTTTGCCCTCATCGTTATTCAGACTGAGCTTGAGAGGTACAAATTCCTTGTTCGAAGTTTCCTTCGCGCTCGCATAGCAAAGGTAAATGTCATCACACTCATTGAACTACAGAAAACTAACTCTCCTTAGATCGATAAACACACCTTGCATTACCTCTCAACCCAGGAGCTTAGAGACAGGATGTCTCCAACAGAAGCAGCATATGCCACAAGACATCAAGCTCTTCTGCACAATCACTATCTCTCATCCTTCTTGGCATCTTTTCCGCAGCAATTGCAGAACCTCAACGACACTGCAGGCAACATCAGCATGATCGATTCACCAGATCTAGATACGGCTGTCTTTATCCGCATGCTAAGAGACAAGGACGTTTATGGCAAAGGAACCGACGACGATATCACTCTCCCTGCCAAGAATGGCGATGTTCTCATATTAAGATGGTCAAGTGCAAAGCATATGGTTGATGTTGGAGATGCCGAACTCGTCTGATGTGCTTGCTGGAGCAAAGCTTGAACCAGGCAACTACGATACATCATGCGTATTCTGTACAACCATGGCAGTTCAGCTATGTGCACCTTCGCCACCACCCTGGTTTGCAGCTCACAAGCATCGAGTTGTTTGCATTTGCATTCATTTCTTACGCATCATAAGCGCAATGCCCCAATGCTATCTGACTGGAGCATTTGGCAAGTCGGAAGTGAACTTAAATGCTCAGCCTCTGCTTGGCATCCTCAAAACTTGCAAAACTTGTCATCTCAGTAACTCAACCCCATTCCCAAAAGGGCAATCAATCTCAGAGTGGCCTCGAGCTCCTAGTCCAATCACGGATTTAGGATTCAACGACAACCCATCCCGGAGATAGAGGTCAGAGTCACGAATATGGCGACAGATACAAGTTCCTATGTCTCACCAGGGTCTACCCTGGATATAAAAGAGCGAGAAGTGCTGCGGCGAAATGATTTGTTCAGATCACACCACCATGCTCGATAGGACATTGCTATCACCACTCACATAACCAAGAAAGGCACGATCATGTCTCTCCCTATCATCACTCCCGATACCACTATCGCCCTCGTCACTGGTGCCAATCAGGGTATCGGCTTCGAAATCGCTAAGAAGCTTGCCAGCGAAAACAACGACTACCACGTCATTGTCTCTGGCCGCCGTTCACAGGCGGTACAAGAGGCGATCTCCGTGCTTCAAGCTCAGGGGCTTAATGTCTCACCTCTCATATTGGACATCACATCAGATGATAGCATCGCCGCAGCAGTCGAGGCTATCGGTGATAAATTTGGTCGTCTTGACATCCTTATCAACAACAGCGCTATCTCAGGCTATGGCATGACCGTGTCTCCGCGAGAACTTATGATGGCTGTCTATAATACCAATTGCATCGGTACCACCCTCGTCACTGACTCTTTTATCCCCCTCCTCGAGCGCTCTACCAAGACCCGCCGTATTGTCTTTGTCTCTACTGCCTTGGGCAGTCTGACACTGAAGGCCGATCCTACGAATCCAATGCATAGCTTTGATTTCGGTGTGTATACGCATAGCAAGTCGGCTCTCAACATGATCGCGCTCCACTACGCCATCAGGTATGAGAATGATTCGCAGTGGAAGATCAATATTGCATGCCCAGGGCACAACTCCCGAACCGCCTTGAATGGGTACGCAGGAACGGAGCCTGTTGATCTTGGTGCCATAAGCTCTGTGAAAGCCGCCACTCTGGCGCCTGATGGGGAGACTGGTACATTCAAGGACGATAAGAGGGTTATCCCATGGTGAGAAGGCGAAACAGCATCTTCAGGTCCCAAGGCACATCGACAATGGTCACAGTAGAAGGAGAAGCAAGTCTCTCGGAATACGCAGTCGTTATATAAACACTCTGAAATGGTATCCTCTGCATTATGTCATGCTCCAAGTCTAAATGCTTTGCATGCAGATGAAATCAAATTTAACCAACGCCCTTGCCAAGCCATACCATTTATGGACTTACTGGCCAGTTGCCTTTCCTTTTCTTCCCACCCCTCACGTCCTTTCGTCCTAACCTAACAGTATCTTTTTGGATTCTTATTTCTTTCTTTAAATATAAATGAAACTAAAACAATAAACATAGTGCAAGTCGTTATCATCATTAAATGGAGCTGGATGATCTCCAAGTTTAGGCCTCACTATGAGAAGTGCCTGGGCGTCCTTCCCAGAGCGCCTGCTCTCGACGCATCTGTTGCCAACGGTACGGTAACACAGCACTGCGAAGACCAACAGAATGAAGCCGGCGCTGGTCTGGCAAGCCGATGAAACCAGCTGACGGCTGTCGGCGATGGAGGCCATCTCGCCGCCACGCACCACTAGCGCTCTTGGGAGCATCCTCGATGGGTGAGTGTTCTTGATCAGGATCATGGTGGGCATTGATATCAATCTCCAGAGTCAAAGCTGTCGAGTAACGGCGCTCAGGCAGCGTGGCAGTTCGGGGTCGGGTTCGAGGTCGAGCAAGGGCGTCGGGGAAATCTGAGGTATCGAACGGCTTTCGAGGGGACTCTTGTCGCTTCTCCTTCTCTTCTGACGAAGAAGAGAAGAAGTTCTCCGGGGTCAGTAGACTCTCCGGAGGGGCAGAGGCAATGGTAGGCATAAGAGGACGTTCCTCGAGAGGTGTGGGCTCCTCTGGCATCTTAGGTGAGTCGGTCATGACAATCTCGACATCTTCAGCTACGACTTCAGTGGGTTCGAGAAGAGTATCCTCAGGGACAGTTTCAAGAAAGTGTGTGACCATCTCAGGGAAATGTCCATCGGTCGCATCCGAGGGCGGGGTATGTTGCTCTTCCTTGTCCTCGACATCAGTCTCGACGGAAGACTGATCGTCTGTCTTCTTGGAAGTGAGAGATGTGTTCTCAACAAGCTCTGTTACAGCTGGCGACTGAGCCTCGCGGTCTTTGGCATCACCCTCCATAGAAATGCCAGAATCACTAGAAGTGGGTGCTCCCTTAGGCGCCAGAGACGCGCTCACCTCCAGTTCCTCCTCTGCTTGCCTCGCGGCAGAATTCGAGGTCTGAATTGGGGTTTCCTGGCCATGCTCTTCCTGCTGATCGTCATGACTAGCCTCGTCAGTGTGGGAGTGAATGGAAGGTGGCTTAGGGAATTCTTCAAGTACAGACGCCTCAAGTGTCTTTTGTGCAACATCAACGGGTGGAACGTTGAGTTTCTCCGCAGCGACAGGCTCAGTCTTGGACGTTTGCGCTTCAGATTCAGTGGACAATTGAACCTCTATTTGCTGGTGTTTAGACGGCTGCTCTTCAGCAGCAGTGGTCACAGCAACATCAGGAGTAATAGCGTCCTTTGTCTCGGCATCCTCACGAATGCTGGCCTCAGTTGTAGTTCCAAAGCTCGTCTCAGATTTTGAGTTGGCCTCGACTTCAGTTGGATTCTCGCGAGAGGCGTCTCTGGCTTCAACCGTCTCCCACTGCTCCTCTTGGGAAGCCTGATGGGCCTCGCCGGTGCCCATCTCAGCGGTGGCTTCAACCTTTATCTGTCCGGGTACAGAAACTTCTGACTGCGGTACTTGTTCTGCGGCACTCTTGGTTGAGAGTTCTTCAGCCATCTCTGCCTTTTGAAGCTCAGGTGTCGCAGGGGCCTGAGGCTGTGACTCTTGTTGAGTTACGGCTGGCTCATGCTTCTTTGCCTCGGGAAGTTGGTCCGAATTTCCAGAGAGGTCTGGCATACGGGTGTCCAGGGATCGGCGAGCCGCTTTCTTATCGGGATTCTCAGCCGGCTTCTCTGTGACAAGCTGAATAGGCTCGTCATCGTCGGTGATCGGGCGGTGGAATTGTACCATTCCACTTGCGATGGCATCCATATCAGACTGCTCTTGATAGATGATTCTTCGACCATCATCGATAATCCGAAGTCCCTCGTTGGACTGATCATGGGGCATGGCCCGCGAGGGGGTTGCAACGACACTGTCTCGAGGGCTGAGGCTATCAGTATCCACCAGACTTGGAGTAGACGGGGGTTCGGACTGGTTCTCGTCGTCTGCCATGAAGTCAGACATATAGCCATGCTTCTTGGCCATTTCAACACCCGATGGTACTCGGCGCAGGTCGGGTGACGGGGTTCCTGGTGTGAAAGGAGGTTCAACAGAATCCCTCAGATTTTGCTTCGCAATCTTCTTGGCAAGAGAGTTGTCAGAACGAGTGCTAGCCATGGATCCATGGAAGGACGTCTCAGAAGGCTGACGAGGAAGAGGCGAGGCAGCAAGAGAGGGCGTGGTAGGCGCAATAGATGATGAACCAGCTGTGGACAAAGGAGGCCTCATCAACTGAGTTGCTCCAATGGAAGATGCAGCTGTTCCGCTTGTCTTCAGCCGCAAGTTTGGCAGTGTATCAGGACAGTCGATGGCACATGTATCTCTGCAGAGCATCGTGATATCTGAACGAATGCGTTCCTTTAAGTGAGCTTCGAGGGCTTTTCGCTCCAGATCAGGTGTCGCAAAGTTCTCGTGATGCACACTGTCATCGCCA